TGCATGCGTGTGTGTGTGTGCGCGTGTGTGCGCGTGCGTGTGCATGTGTGTGTGTGTGTGCGTGTGTGCGTGCGTGCGTGCGTGTGCACGTATACGTGCGTGCGTGCAGGTGCACGTATACGTGCGTGCGTGCAGGTGCACGTATACGTGCGTGCGTGCGTGTGCACGTATACGTGCGTGTGCACGTATACGTGCGTGCATGTGTGCATATGCGTGTGTGCGTGCATGCGTGTGAACGTACATGTGCATGCACACACGCACACACATACATACACACACACGCACACACATACATACACACACACACATACATATNGCCCTCCTGTTGCTCTACCCGCTGACGTCACCGCGCATATGTAGCCGGCCAAACACATGGCAGCCAGTATTACATTTCGGGTGACATCACGCGTGTAGACAACAGGATTTTCAAAGCGGCAATTGCAACGGTAGTGCCTCAGACTTGAATGAGCCATTTTTGAGTGGAACACCTGTCGGCCGGGACCCCCGGCCGGGTGTGGGCTGTTTGAAATTTAGCTACAATGTTCTATAATCGTCCCTTTCACCGGCAGTTAATGAACGCGCGGCCCTATAGACTAGAGCTAACAACATACACTTATACCCTCTAACCGTCAACTAACCCTAGCATACGTGGGTACTGGAATCGTCAATGACTGGGTATCCTGAGGGGGAATTAACTCGTTATCTCCCTTCCATGTTGCTGCGCATGACTGCAGATCGTATACAAGCGGTTAGCATGCACTACAGACAATGGGCGTTTAGCCGCCTAGCGTTGTCCACGGCCATGGCGCAGCGGGGAGTTAGAGTGTGTTACAGACGATTGCGCAATCAACCTGGCCTCGTTGGTGGATTAAGATACCCAGAATCACGAATGCGAGCGTATCGTCATAGCGATATAACAAGAGTTAAAATGCCTTGCGTAAAGTCTGCAGCGATCACTGTCCAAGAAGACCGGGGTCGGTGGCCTGACTAATACTAGTCACTCTTTAAGGAAGGTGTAATATCGAAAATAGCTTATAAACATCTAGTTTTAGCTCATTTTGACTTTTGAGGGTTCGCAGGTAGTTTTCTTGCCGTATGCCATGCCAGCTCCTGGATTATAAAAACAACTGTTAGTGTTTCATTGACGCATTTATCGCCTACAGGAGCCGAGGTGGTGGGGGTATAATGTATAACACGACCCAGTGTCCAGGTGGACATGTTCAGCTTAGCGTCCGGTAATGGTAACATTAGATCGAGCCGCCACGGGTGCTCTTGCTCACGAGGGGGGTACCAGTATCTGCGGGTTACAGGCTACTGTCGGGGCGCCCTATATTTCGTCAGCTCGTGCGCCACACTACGTATCACCGTGAATCTCAAAATATCATTAAATAACTCCTCAGCACACAAAAAGAATAAACACCCACGTTCACTATGTTCACGCATGCACACGAATCTGCACTGCACGCCACGCACGGCCGCACACACGCCACGGCACACGCTTTTACAGTGCGCCACTGTATGTGCACCGCACGCACGCACGCACGCACCATACACGTGACGCTGTAACGCCACCGCACGCAACGCACGGCACGCATGCACACGATTACCTGCACACGCACGCACATGCAGTACATGTATTGACCACACGCACACGCGAACGCACACACGTGCACGTTTACACGCACGGCATGCACGCATGTTGTACGTACACATGCCGCACCACGACATACGTGTACGTGCAAACGCAACTCACGCCATGACGCATGTGCTACGTGCACACGCACGCCGCAGTACATACGACACGCATGCGCACGCCACCTGTTACGTTGCATACGCAGCGCACGGCAAGCACACACGTACGCATGCACGCACAAGGTACGTTCACACGCCTACCACGCACGCCGAGTTACGTGCACACGCGTACGCCACACACGTTACCTGCCACACGCACGCATGCCCACGATACCATGTATTACCACACGCACACGCACGCACACACGTGCAACGTTTTACAGGCACTGCACACACGCAACGCATGCCACGCATGTGTCACCACGCACGCAACATACGTGTCGTGGCAAACGCACGCACGCATGCCACGCCATGTGTACTTCACAACGCACGCATGCACGCTACATACGCACGCACTCACGCACGCACGCACTTAGTACGTGCACCACGCACGCACGCACGCCACACACAGTGTACGTGCACACCCACGCACGCATATATATCTGTCACGCAAGAATTAGGGTGTGCTACAGCAGTAGGGGCTCTTCTGCAGTTCATACATGTACCTACATACATGCATGAATCTCAATAAACATATTACATAACTCCTCAGCACACACAAAAGAATAAACACCCACTCCCCACTCTATACTCCGGTGTGCATATGGTACGCGAAATCTTCACCTCTCAGATCGTGCTTGCCTCCAGCGGGCAACTGTTTCTACGGCTAACCCATTGTTCATACAGGCTCGAGATACGACGAAAAGGCAAGGCAATTTTTTTAGGTAGCTATGTGAGAAATCGCCTTGAATTTTCTCTAAAATAGAAGGCACAGAGCAATTTTGTAAAATAAAGAGAAAACACATAACAAAATAGTACCATGCAACATCGTCTTGCTGTTTAATGTACAAAAACAATAGAATATGCCCCCTTGTAAGCTTACACCGTAACACCGACCCCTGTACCCCCCTCTGCTAATGGAAGTACAGTAACAAGAAATTTTACATGACCGCTATCAGGAGCGAATAATTATCCGATGCTGTTATTATTCCCTCCTGCGACTATCGGTTTTTAGCTCATCATTGCAACTACAGCACGCACGCGCACGTGTTATGTTGATTCGACTAAAAACGAAACTAGGGCAGTAGATTAAAGGGCACCGACGGCAATTACACAAAAGGCCAAGGCAGGTGACTGCAGTCGGTCGGGTTGGATTTTCAGCGGCAGTACGGCGATTGATAGGGGCACAGACGGCAATTGAGACGTTCAGTATTTTTAGCTCATCTGACATAGTCAGATGCAGCTTGTAGAATCGCATGAGCGTGCGGCCGTTTGTCCGTCCGTGCGTCCTTGCGCCCGTGCGTGCATCAACAGTTGGGCACAAATCTTAACCGCTTGACGTACGGTCACGATATTCGGGACGTCGGGGGGGATCGTCAAAACGAGTTGGGATGTTGAAGCTGGGGGTCAAGAGGTGTAAAAGAAGAGGGAACATTCTCTCCTTAACTTAAGGTATAGGGAGGAAATGCAGAATTGCGACACAAATCTAAATGGCTCGACCTAGGCTCGTGATAGTCGGTGTATAGCATCATGGTAGGAAAAGCCATCACTGTGTCGAAATTGGAGGTCACAGGTCAAAGGTCTATTCTAATCATAATTATTGCCTGGAAACCTGCAATGCAGATGTGTTAACTCACAGCTGAACGAAATTCTCGCCTGCCTGAATATACTTGGATTTCAGCAACTCAATGGAGTGAGGTTATCACGCACGAAGGGTGATGCCATCTTTGATTATTGATAACAGTTGCACGCGCCATCTCGCGCAACTGCTTTTGCTATTAGAGCCCCCTCCACCCGCCCTCTCTCCCACTCTTTCCCACCACCACCACTACGCTCGCGCTCGACGCATATCCATGATAACATGTTAATATAGCGAAGTCATTAAAGTTACACAGAGCTCTGTATCTTTATTACTGTGCTACCGGTATAGCAAAGCCTAGCTATCATAGATTTTAGATCTGTATTAGTAGTATCCTAGATATATGCTCTGAGCGCGAACGCGGTGATGGGAGGGTGCTCTTCATTCGTTTGCCAGTGAGTTTAGCATCAGAACACCTGCCGTCAGGTGAGCGCTGTCGCTCTGCGGCACTTGTTTCTAGTTGATGCCTTCTGCTATGTCTTTGTACCTCCAAAACAAAATAACCAGATGTAAACTAAATCTATGATAAGTAACCATTGTAATATAACTATTATGCTTATAAGTTACAGGCATGTGTGCAACCTATTGCACAAAAAACAAAATTCGACTTAATTCCAAACCATGTAATCAATTTCTGGGAATTTCTTTATGTGTGTAAATTCCACCACAAAATGCTTGTAGCCTGAAGGAAGGTTTAGACAGATACTGAGATAGTGTTGGGTAGTTTTCCCAGTAGAATAAAAAACAATGTGTGCACTCTCATAAAAACTTTTTGGGAGTTTATGTCTATATAATGCATTTATTTCTACTAGGAGCACATTTTGAGCCTCAGTCGAGCAGACAGTATGCTACGTCTGCTATGCCTTTGTACCTCTAAAACTAAATAACCAGATGTAAACTAAATCTTTGATTAGTAACCATTCTAATATAACTAAGTTAAATTGACTACGTCACGCATTTTCTATGGTAAAATTTGTAAAATTTGTGTTGCTATTTTTTTACATTAAAAGCAAGAACTAAACGTATTGTCAAATTCTTACCTGATAAGATTGTTTCTCAACTAGTTAAAAATCCAAAAAAACTGGACGATTTGATATTATGTTCCTGACATTAATTGCTTGCTATGGGCTATGTATTAGTCACGAATGTATGTTCACATCGAACAATATAGTAAAATAGGAAGTATAATGCAGCATGAAACGTCAGCGGTACGTTTCAAACCAGCACGGTTGAGTAAAAAAATAAAAAATAAATAAATAACTTTGTTATTTATATAATGCAGCAATTTAACCATAAAAAGTGAACAGAATTACTTATATTTTGTGAAAAAGTGGAATTTACGGTGACGTAATCACTTTAAGGTTATGCTTATAACTTACAGGCATGTGTGCAACCTATTGCACAAAAAACTTATGTGTATAAATGTGTTCTTTATGTGTATAAATTCCACCACAAAATTGCTTGTGGAAGGTTTAGACAGATACTGAGATAGTGTTGGGTAGTTTTCCCAGTAGAATAAAAACAATGTGTGCACTCTCATAAAAACTTTTTGGGAGTTTATCTTTATATAATGCATTTATTTATACTAGGAGCACATTTTGAGCCTCTAATCAAGCAGACAGTATGCTACATTGTGTGTGGATTGATTTACAATGAAAATGGAGAAGTTCTCTTGATCCAGGAAGCTAAGCAGTCATGTAGAGGCAAATGGTACCTGCCTGCTGGAAGGATGGAGGTGGAAGAAACTATTGAAGTAAGTCTGTAGAATGTAGGTTATCCTATAGTTATTGGGTGACATCTGGTTAGTTATTTTACCAAGTCTTTCATGTTGAGTTATAATTTAATTACTAAATTTTTATATCCATCTACATACTGTTCCTACATTTTTCAAGTATGTGGAGTAATCCATGGGAATTTAATCACAGTTTTATTATGTCCTAGCAGTTCGCATACTATAGTAACATAACATCATAAGAATTACTACATGAATGTGTGTCATTTTAGGATTTGGTCCAGATTGAATTTTTTCACGATTATATCATCTGAGTGTATGTGTGAATAAAAAGTGAATATAAAGAATAAAGTGTACTACAGCTACCTTGTCATGTATGTATGTAGGAGGCCCTAAAGCGAGAGGTAAAGGAAGAAGCTGGGTTTTGCTGTGAGATCACAACTTTGCTCTTGGTGGAAATCGATTGTGGGGCTCGATGGGTTAGGTTTACTTGCCTAGCAAGAGTCACAGGTATTGCCTATTGCTGTTATCTGCATGTGCTTAAACATTTCTTACATTGACCGTGTCACAAATAGGCTGGAAAATATATATTGTATACTATTTATTGTAATGTTTTGATATAAAAATTAATAATGACATAAAAATCACACGCGTAAGTTAACTGAGATCATATAATAATAATACACTCATACGGTATATAAGATCTTACTACAGACATCATACAATAATAGTATACGTTTTTATGATAATATGTAAGGGCACATTTATCTATGTCATAAATTACTCTGGTTTTTAGATGGATAATTAACGAAATCACAATTTAATTGTCCCTTAGGAGGTCACCTGAAATCCAAAAAGGAGATGGACAAGGAGTCTTTGCAGGCTCGCTGGTGTAGTACACATGATATCTCACAGTTGGAAATAAGGTATTTATCGGCAGGGCATGAAATTCAGATTTTTTGCACCGGCCCAGAGGACTGGCAACAGCACTTTTTTACCAGCCCTCACAAATTTTGTTTTCAAAAATAAAGATGAGACTGTTTCACTGACTCTTGCTTGTCCGAAAAATGTTGTAGTGTGCAGTAGCTGTATCGGTTTATTCCCGGTTGGCCTACTCCCATTTTGTCTACACTCAAAATCTACCCCATTCCCATTTCATCTACGATCGGTTTGTTCACTAAATAATTATTTATAAATAATAAAATATGGTTTTGATTGGCATACATAGACTACAGGAACCAGAAGAAAATATAGGTACAAATAATGAGAACACAACTTGACAAAAATAGAAAATACAGTAGCATAATATATACGAAATGGGAGTAGGCGAAATGGGAATATTGCCGATTCATAGAGTAGACGAAATGGGAGTAGGCCAACTGGGATGTTACCGCTGTATTATCGCGTAGTAGCTGTTGAATAGACTATAATGCAGATCGTGGATGAGGTCCGAAGTGTTTTTGTCAATGTCATGTTTCACGCTTGCATTCTCGATTTCAAATTTGTAAAATGTTGATAAATTATGGTGCGATATCCTTCAGGTAAAACAGTATTGTAGGCTATTTGCTCATTAATGCTATAAATAAAAATGTATAGGTGCCCGCTAACACGGCCGAAACCACCGGCTCGGAGGGCTGGTGTTTTGCCAATGCTACCGGCCCTCCACATAATTTGCTGGCATATGCCGGTGGGAGGTGCTAATTTCGCGCCCTGTATTGGTTAATTATTTTGCAGAAAACGAGTATATTTCATCTGCAGTGGGTTACATATATATGTACTGCTTATGTATATATGCTTATATGTAACAGCTTATGTATTGTTATAGTCGTACATTTCCTATTGTACTATTCAAACACATTGCTTTAAGTATTGGCCATATCACGTGGTAAGCATGTCTACATAATGCAGGGTGTGAAATTAGCACCGGCCCCCCGGCATATGCTGGCAAATTATGTGGAGGGCCGGTAGCATTGGCAAAACACCGGCCCTCCGAGCCGGTGGTTTCGGCCGTGTTAGCGGGCACCTATACATTTTTATTTATAGCATTAATGAGCAAATAGCCTACATTACTGTTTTACCTGAAGGATATCATGCCATAATTTATCAACATTTTACAAAGGTGAATGAGGCATGAAACATGACTTTGATTTTACAAACAAAATTTGTGAGGGCTGGTAAATTATGGTGAGGGCTGGTAAAAAAAAAAGCTGTTACCAGCCCTCTGGGCCAGTGCAAAAAAATCTGAATTTTGTGCCCTGTAATAACATAGGCACTGATTGAAGACAGTGTTTTGATGACGTTGATTTTTGAGGCAGGGAAAATTGAAAGCTATAAAATAAGAATTTCATTCTGTTCAAGTTAATCTTATAGAGGATATTGCCTGTAGTTTTGCTCCTGTGTTTGTTTGTCTGTGAATTCACAATAGCAGCTCAAGTATATACCTGCAATGTTCATATTTAGGATTGTAGAATTCAATCTGAAAAGCCTGGTAGAGAATATTTTTTTGATTTCCTTATTAACTCGTGGCATATGGCTAGTTTCATACACCTGCTATACTGTGGCCAAAAACGGTGTGACTTAGATCCAGTAAGTGAGGAACTTTCTTGCTTCCAACCTTCCACGTTGATCTGAAATTTTCATAACTTGACTGAATAAACACTATTATTTACTCTCCTATGTCCTTGGAAATTAAGTGTCCAGTAACTTTTGTATCCTTGAGAAGTTGAAACTGCTGGCTTGCATAAGAGATACATGTATAATATGTGTTGTTACAGGGCCCACGATATTTTCCCCCTTATGGAGTATGCGGAGCAATTTAGAAGTTTGCCTGCTAGCAGCAGGCACTGTAACGTTTTGCCCACTGTTAGCCGACACAAGAGATTACTGGTGAGAGCGGTTATTGTCAAGAACACTGAAGCAAGGTAGGTATATGCAATACACATTTGCATGCACACAATCATGAATCTATGTGCACAGCCACTTTCATGCACATATGCATCTACGCTTGCACGTGCACACGCAACGTGCGCACGCACGTACAAAAGCACAGTCGCCATATATGTGGATAGTATATAAAAGGCAAATGTGGAGAAATTGATCGAGAAAACCGTCACATTTTGTTATGTGGTAATTTTTTACTTTATATTAATTTTCTATAAAGAGAGATTGTAGATTTAATATCAGACAACCTCCAGACCCCCCCCCCCTTCCCTGACACAAAAACAAGAAATTGCTGTTCATGTAAATGCTTAACGGTGATATGCTAGGATTTCTAAAGCAAGTGCTGTATGCCGGTGTGGGGGGAGAGTATCTTTATAGTAATTATCAGATTCTTGTCATAAATAGCAACATAAAAATTGCTGCATATGTGTCTGCATGTAGTCAGTAAATCAAAAGAAACACGAGAAACATGGGATAATTTTTAGCTCATCTGACATAGTCAGATGCAGCTTGTAGAATCGCTTGATCGTCCGTCCATCCGAGCGTCCGTCCGTGCGTCCGTCAACAGTTGGGCACAAATCTTAACCGCTCGACGTACGGTCATGATATACGGAACGTGGAGGGGTAATCCGAAAACGAGTTGGGATGTCGAAGCTGGGGGTCAAAGGTCAATGATATGACAGAACCAAGAGATAGAACGTAACATAGCAACTGCAACACATGTTTGTAGTTATCTGCCAGCTGACTGCCTGCTGTCCTCCACTATTTAGCGGAGGCATAGCGGAGCGTTCGTGAAACAGCAGTTGTCTGTTCGCTAAGTTCTCCGTTATGCCTCCGTTCGCTAATGAGCACACGCATTAGCGAACGGACAACTTAGCGGAGAACTTTGCGGACGTTAGTGAAACGCGCCCAGCTGCCTCGTTGCTGTCGTTTATTTACATGCTGATCCGTATTTAGACCATGCTGCGTCAGCTGACAATTCGTATTCTATTCTAATTATCTTTTTATTTATCTCCTCTTTATCCTTTTAATCTGCACTGTACTACTGCTAGACTTTTCCTTTATTTGATTTTGTGTATTAATTTCTTAAGTGGAAATTTGTGGGTAACCTGGTTTTCCGATCCAGGTTTTTAGTTATTCCAAAATGGCCGCGCCCTGTAGTGGTTTGAAATAGAGTCTTCAGTATAACCGAAATCTCTACACTGCTACTACTAGTTCCCTGTGGTGTGTAAATGTTTCCATCAAAATCTGCTGTCCGTCATGTCATTGCAAGATGGTTTAAAATCGTTACTTAACGGCACATTACCAATTTCATATTCGGTAGCGGACTTGATTGTAGACGTGGCAACTGGTGGAGGCAAGTATACATTACATGATCAGTGTCGTTAATAATGTATCCAGTAATGTGATGTCCAGTCCATTGCATGTCGCAATCGATGAATCGTGTGTGAATGTGTGGATTTCGGTCTTGATCAGATTACCCTCTTTAATCACTTTATGTGGCTAGAACATTTAGGGCATATTGTTTACCAGTTTAGTTACTCAGGACTTGATTGAGCATCACATCATCATTCATGCATAATAATTAATATTAATAAACGTGATAAATGTAGGTGGAATGATGAGGTGGCATAGATTCTTAGGCAAGTTATGTGCAGCATCTAACACACTACCCCCTCTTTGGAAACAGTGAAGGTGGTCACTGCCATATTGTTTTACTTACCGAGTATAGTTTCTTAGGCTTTACAGCCACATTAGAGTGGTGAGCTGGATTCGCCATTCCACGTGGCCATCTGAGCCACAAGATTGTTACAACTCGATAGAAAATTAATTGCCCTGAAAGTTTACTTTAACTTGTACATGTTTCGTAATCAATTTCACTTCATCCCTAGCTTCAAATACACTAGCTCTAGTACTATAGCCCGCGTTCATTAACTGCCGCAGGGCTATAGAACATTGTCAGCTAGATTTCGCAGCAACACCGGGTCTCGACAGGTTCCACTCAAAATGGCTCACAAAACGGAAAATGATCGGGCTTTTTAACACTTATTTATCTACATGGACATCTCACCTATCTTTTTTAACACTTTCCACAACTTTACACCATGTATTTATCCATTTATTATTCAAAGTCTGAGCACTACTTGCAATTCCGTTTGAAATCCTGTTGTCTACACGCGTGACGTCACCGGATATGTAGGCAAAACACATGGCAGCAGCTATTACATTTCGGGTGACATCACGCGTGTAGACAACAGGATTTCAAACGGAATTGCAAGTAGTGCTCGGACTTTGAATGAGCCATTTTGAGTGGAACCTGTCGGGACCCGGTGTTGCTGCGAAATTTAGCTGACAATGTTCTATAGCCCTACGGCAGTTAATGAACGCGGGCTATAGTACTAGAGCTACAAATACACTAACTCTAACGTCAACCTAACCCTAGCATAGTGGTACTGGAATCGTCATGAACTTGGTATCCTAGTAGAATTAACTCGTTATCTCCCCTTCATGTTGCTGCATGACTGAGATTATACAAGGTTTATAGCATGCACCTACAGACAATGGGGTTAGCCGCTAGCTTTGTCAGCAGGTGGCGCAGCGGGAGTTAGAGGTGTTACAACGATTGCGCAATCAACCGGTCAGTTGGAAAGATACAGGAATCACGAATAGCCGATCGTATCGT